GCTGAGCTTGTGGAGGAAGAGAATGAGAGACAGACACTGGGTCACATGTCCTTCATCTTCCAACAGGGCAGGGCTCCGAGGCTTGCAGGGCCCTCCAGGGAAACTGGGGCCTCCAGGAAGTAGAGAGGCTCCTGGGCTGCAAGGAGTGAAGGGCCAAAAAGGAGATCATGGAGACAGTTAAGGTAAGGAGCTCATCTCAGTATGGCATTGGCTGAGAGGACTAGCTGGGGAACTCGAGAGCCCGGTGGGAGGGGCCCTTCTCTGCTGCCCCACTGGCAGACCTCTGCTTCCTGAGACTTACTACCCTGCTGGCCACCCCTTGTGGCCCCTGCAGATGGCCCAGCTCCCTCAGCTGGAGCAGCCAATGCCAGGCTCCAGGATGCGCAGGGGGAAACTGGTCCCTTCGGGTGTTGGGTTTAAGTCTATTGACACAAGAGTGGCAGGAAGATTGTCTGCTTCATAAGATCCATGGTGCAATCGACTAATGAATAGGGTAAATAAATTATTTAATCCGAAGTGAAATAAAGTAATTAGTAACAACAAAAATAAAATGATGAACTCACATAAATATTTGCTCACTGGCCCATCACAATTATATGAATATTAGTGACCCCACCACACTGCAGGACTCCGCCTAGTCCCTGGGTGCTGGGAGACCCAGAGTCCAGTCCAGGGGTGGGCAAACTTTTTGACTTGAGGGCCACAAAAGGTTCTTAAACTGGACCGGAGGGCCGGAACAAAAGCATGGATGGAGTGTTTGTGTGAACTAATATAAATTCAAAGTAAACATCATTACATAAAAGGGTATGGTCTTTTTTATTTTTTTTAGTTTTATTCATTTCAAACGGGCCGTAGTTTGCCCAAGGCTGGTCCAGTCAATCCGCTCCTTGAGACCAAGATCAATTCCCCCCCATCTGCTCACACCTCACCAAGCATGTAGCCCCGCCCACTCGCACTCACCTCCCTGCACACAGTCTCCTGGTGACCAGTCTTTGGTCATTATGGCGTGTCGGGGTCATGGCAAACGGGTTTTCATAATACAGATTAAATACCTCACCTGGAATAAGAAATAAATGCATGATTAAGAAAATTTTTCAAAAAGAATGAGTTCATTTTTTTCCTATAAATGAGTATAATATTGCAGTATTTAAGCAGTATGTGAAGAAAAGAATCCAGAGCTACAAATTACAAGTTACCGTTATTGCTGTTTCAGAGTTACAGTTTATAAAAGTTATGAATTATGTCTGAGAAGGCAGGAATACAGTTGTTTTGTTTTATCACATCCTTTTGTTTTCATATTTTTCTGGAATAAGCATACTTCTTAATAAGCTTTTATTCCCCCCTTCCCCCCCAAATACTCTGTTCTTGAATTTCGGGTCTTTTTCTCAATATATGCCCTTCTCCCATTGCTTTGCAGTTACGGAGACTAAGCTGGCTAACTTAGAGAGAGAGCTGAGGAGCCTGGAGGCAGAACTGGACCGCATCAAAAATGTAAGCCTCTTCCTGCCCCACTAGCTTCCTGCTCTCCCCTTGTCCTTGAGTGCTCTGGGTTCTCAGGAGGTGGAATAGAACTAACAATTGTGAACACGGATTATATACCAGGGCCTGTGCTAGGTTGGCATTTTCTTATAATATGATTTCATTCTGTCCTCTCATCACTGCTGTCTGAGAGCATTACGCTTATTTAATTTACATGTGAGAGAAAATAGGTCCAGGATTTGTAGATAATTCATTCAGCGTCACCCAGGTGGGAAGCAGCAAAGGAAACATTGCATGAAGATCTGCTGCCTCCAAATCCTTTCTTCTTCCTCAGCACCCACTGTTCTCAGATAGCTGTCCCTGCCCCTTTCTATCCTGGCATCCAAGCCTGGCAGCAGGGCCCACGCCTGTTTCCCTGTCCACCTGCACTGGGGCAGTTTGTTCTGGGGGACTGTCTCCAGGACAGGCACCCCCAGGAGAGGCTGGGCTCTGCCAGGGCCTTCCCTGCACTAAGGAGCTCCTCCTCACTAGGACCTGATGGGGATTCCACATGTGCTCCTTTTTAGAGTCCTGACTCCCTGACAAGGGAGTCGTCACCTACTGGCCTGAGTCAATCCCACCCATCCTTTGTGATTTCAGTGCACACCTTCTCCTTGGGCAAGAGATCTGGAAAGAAGCTCTATGTTACCAATGGTGAAAAGATGCCTTTTTCCAAAGTGAAGGCTCTGTGCGCTGAGCTCCAGGCCACCGTGGCCACCTTCCGGAATGCTGAGGAGAACAAAGCCATCATGGACAGGCCAATGACCATGCCTTCCTGGGCATCACAGATGAAGTGACTGAACTCCAGTTTGTGTATGTGACAGGAGGGAGGCTGACCTATAGCAACTGGAAGAAGGGTGAGCCTAATGACTTTGGCTGAGTGGGGACTGTGTGTGCCTTCCGGAGAATGGGCTCTGGAATGACATTTCCTGCTCTTCCTCCTTCGTGGCCTCTGTGAATTCCCACCCTGAAATGGCAGTTCCTCAACCCCTCAAGCATGGAAGTTAAGGCCTAAATTTCCTCACAGCCAAGAAAACAAGGAGAAAACTGACTGGTAACCATTATACAATTATTTCTGTTTTCTGTAAGGGGTGGGGGATTGGTGCTCTGCCCTGAGGGAATGTCTTCATGTTTATACTGTGCATAAAGGACAGTATCTTCAGATATAAAATTGTAGAAGACAGTCAACTACTTCACGTGGATTGTTTCCCCATATGTAGTGGTCGCCACTAGTCAGAGAAACAGTAAAAATCTACCGGATAAACTCAAATTCTTCCGTCCCCTTTCCAGTCTTCTGCTCTGCCTGTTCTTCCCCTGACCTTTCACCAGATCATCTTTTCAGACCTCCTCTCTCTAAATGCAGCTGTCTGCCACCATACTGCCTTGATCTAGAACTGAGGCCACCACCTCCCTGAGATTCACTTTCCAATACTTATCAGCAAGTAGTGGAACCCATGCAAGTTAGATCCTGTGAAGGTGGCATAAATCTAAAGATAAAGGATTCTCATGAGGATCTAAAGATAGTAACTACAGGGAGAAAACCAAGATGGCGGCATAGGTAAACACTGGAAATTGCTGCCTCGCACAACTACTTCAAAAATATAACTAAAAGACAAAACATACATCATCCAGAACCACAGGAAGGCTGGCTGAATGGAAATTCTACAACTAGAAGGAAAGAGAAAAGCACACTGAGACACAGAGAGGTGCAGAAGTAAAGTGCAGAGTTATGGAGGCACACCTGGAAAGGGCTGGCAACTGAGGACACCGTTGCCTTTTTCATTCCAGAGGGAGTCACAAGCTCTCAACTGCTCTGAACTCCAGTTCCGGGTGAGTCTCTGGGGACCCAGACTCATATGGGGAGAAACTGAACTGTCGGGCAGCAGACGGAACTCGAGGGTGGCTTTCTCTCAGAGATGCTTGCAGTGATTACCGGGACACTGAGACCCGAGGCCTCTTAGGACAGGGGT